AGAAAAATTGCTGTGACCAGAATTTTGGTGAGAGTCTTTGCATATTTACTTCCTTTCATTTCCCAGATTCTGGACTTTATCTGTTGACCGGTGTTGATTTTTATTTTGATCTATTTTGAATTGCGTGACACTGAAAACCAGCAATTATATCCCAAAGATCTTTACTTATAATTTGCTCTCAAGAAGTCACCACCCCATGCACGTTGAAGCACAAAGCAATTTTAACATTCCCCATCAGACTGCAGCCACAGCCAATTTTACATTTGGCGTTCACGTCTTTCATCAAAAAAAGTTCAGAATTCATTTTTTTAAGTGGCGGGCGGAAGAAAATCTAGTGGAAAACAATAAAGACAATAGAGTGTTTATGTCTCGGAACAATCGGTCCGATGGTTGTCCCTTAGAAATTTGAAGTTCTCAAAATTAACATATAGGCCTTCCGAAGCTTTGCTTCTCGGGCAAAAATTTGTATTAAGAACATCAAATTTCCGCGGGACAACTATCAGTTGATAGTTCTTCGACAGAAACACTCTGTTGTTTAAACGGAAAGCTCATAACCTAATTGTTGATTAGAAAACAATGAGGGAACCAAGAAAGATTCACGGATTTCCAATAGAACAGAGCCGAGTGGCTATTAATTCTCATTAGTATAATTCTACTAGTATGCTAATGAAAATGCTGCAATCTGATTGGCTGAGCTACTTGTATACTATCAGCCTTCGGCCTTACCAGCTATCACCTCATATAAATCTCGAGCTCAAAATCTAATTGTTTGTTAGTGTTCAGTGGCTTGGTGTGGTCGACAAAATTTCAACGTTTTCTCATTTATCCGAAGTTTTGAAAGAACATTTAGAAACAAATGAAGAATTAGATTCCTGAGAAGACTAAAATAAGGACATTTCCGATTGCTTGAATTAAGAAAAAACTCTAATTATTTGAAAGAAACTGATAAGCGCGCGTACACAAATTGACAATTCAGTCCGNGCTCTCAAGAAGTCACCACCCCATGCACGTTGAAGCACAAAGCAATTTTAACATTCCCCATCAGACTGCAGCCACAGCCAATTTTACATTTGGCGTTCACGTCTTTCATCAAAAAAAGTTCAGAATTCATTTTTTTAAGTGGCGGGCGGAAGAAAATCTAGTGGAAAACAATAAAGACAATAGAGTGTTTATGTCTCGGAACAATCGGTCCGATGGTTGTCCCTTAGAAATTTGAAGTTCTCAAAATTAACATATAGGCCTTCCGAAGCTTTGCTTCTCGGGCAAAAATTTGTATTAAGAACATCAAATTTCCGCGGGACAACTATCAGTTGATAGTTCTTCGACAGAAACACTCTGTTGTTTAAACGGAAAGCTCATAACCTAATTGTTGGTTAGAAAACAATGAGGGAACCAAGAAAGATTCACGGATTTCAAATAGAACAGAGCCGAGTGGCTATTAATTCTCATTAGTATAATTCTACTGGTATGCTAATGAAAATGCCGTAATCTGATTGGCTGAACCATTGCACACTATCAACCATCAGTAGAATTCTACTAGTATATTAACGCAAATGCTGCAATCTGATTGGCTGAGCTACTTGTATACTATCAGCCTTCGACCTTACCAACTATCACCTCATATAAATCTCGAGCTCAGAATCTAATTGTTTATTAGTGTTCAGTGGCTTGGTGTGGTCGACAAAATTTCAACGTTTTCTCTTTTATCCGAAGTTTTGAAAGAACATTTAGAAACAAAGGAAGAATTAGATTCCTGAGAAGACTAAAATAAGGACATTTCCGGTTGCTTTAATTAAGAAAAAAACTCTAATTATTTGAAAGAAACTGATAAGCGCGCGTACACAAATTGACAATTCAGTCCGCGCGAATTCTCTAAAGCTTGAAGTTTAATACTAAGACCAGAAATAATTGGAATCGTTATTTGAAGCAAATTTCTTCGGCTTCATCAACTATCACCTCATAGAAATCTCGAGCTCATAGTCTAATTGTTAATCAGCAATCATCAAGAAATTTCTTACAGTACAATGGGAAAAGAATATAGAAGCTAAATGATGAAACTATTACGAAAGAAATTTACTGATGGCGATAAGAAAGAAGAACTAAGATAAAAGAACTAAGATAAAAGCTTATAGTAAGTTAGAGTGACCCAACTTTACTTACTGCAATGCATTTCAGCACTTGATATTTGTCTACCTTCGAAAGTTCGCGCCCCGCGCGCCTCTGACCGAGTAATTTTGGCTGGAAAATGCTCTCTCCTCCGAAGAGGGTGGGTGCAAAAACCAAACCTATTCTGTGCTCGATTTTTCGTAACTTCAAAATGTGCACTTACATTCAAAGGAGAAGAGAGTCAGAAATCTGCAACGCGTCTGCCATCTTAGAAATATCAGGTAAGGTAAATTTATTTGTGATATTGAATCGGTCCATTGATAGTCCTGGGCGTTTTAGAAAGTTTTTTTTTTTCCTTTGAATTTACTGATAGGGGAAGAGGGGGAGGGGATCAGTAGGGGGTCAGTAAGGGGTCAGCTAACCCCGGATCAGTGTTTTGTCGAAACCCGGAAATGTTAACCAATCAGGTTGAGCGATTTTATCACACGGCTTTTCAAAATGGTGGTCAAAATGCTCTCGATGGAGCCTGGGAAAAAAATTGGAGTAGCAAATCTCCTCGGCGCAAAGAAATCCTCAAGTGTGCCCGTAACTATCAACGACAAAATTTGCTCGCGATTCACTCGCTGGCGATCACATTCGCTGCGATCGGCATGAAAAATCGAATAAATCGCCTTGCGTGTAACTGGCTTTAAGTCGAAAATAGTGTAATTTTTATGGGCTGATATTCACTCACGGGCTGAGGAAAGACACGGAATAGCCCCGAAATAGTTCTATGCTACAGCACAAAATGTACTCAAATCTTGGTCTCCAGCGGCTAGATTGGCACTTTAACTTTGTGGATAATATCAACAGACGTTTTGAATTTACAGTTGACTCATACTTTTCCAATTACGAAATAAAATGACTGCTGTAAGGTGGCTGAAACAGTTTCCATCACTTTCCAAGACGTAGATTTTGATCGGTCATTAGCTGATGCCAAAACCATGGTATTAAAAAAACTGCCCAAACATAGGTGAACATGTTACTGTCAATTTTGTGGCACAATAGGTTACCATAGCAACAATATGACCTGCTAAAAACACTCTTAATTTTAGCTTTAAGTACTTATAACTTAAAAACGAGTTCGTTGACCCCCACTATTTTTTATTATATGTGCCTTTTAATTTAAGCTGGTCACGCCACCACTTGCAATATATTTAGCCTACATTTGCATTTTCTCGTTGCTTTCACGAGCGTGTTTTATTGCTCAACCTACTGATAAAGTCCTGTTAAACGCGGCTAGCTTGTATGTCGCTCAGGATCCCAAGGAATTACTCGAAACTGAAGTTAGCAAATATTTACTACCGACTCTCTGTGGTTTCTAACTATTCACTGAATTAAGGAATACCTCCGGACGTCCAAATGTCTGGCCAGTTGCCATAACTGATTTCCAAACTAATTTGCAGCTCGTTAATGCTTACATTTAAGTGTTCCTAGTCACTGTGGTATTTACACAAGCATACTTGCATTGAGCAAACTTGAGTTCAATTATGCAAATGTGAAACAAATGTCAACCAAATATTAGATGTGAAACACGCAACGGTCCGCGTAAAAAATAACGTACACACTTTGGACATTTTTATCACCAAAATGTCGTTTTCTTTCGTACATTTTAAGTTTCAAGTTTCTTCGATACCGTTCTTTCCGGCAACTTCTTCGTGATATAAGCGAATCAACCTTTTAACAAACATTTTCGACCAGCTGGCTTTCAAGTTTCATTCTCTTGTGGTTTTACGTAAACACGAACGAAATTTCGCTAGGAAACACACGAAGAAAAACAAAACACTAGTAGTAGCTACTTATTCATGACTGATTCAGATTTCGCAGAACACACTATCCTCGACTCGGGATTTATTGCAATAACATTACTGGAACTCTCTTTTACTATGCCTTCAAGACAGATAAATTTTTGCTTTGGGTATTACAGAAGTTTTAACAAACGCTTTCTGTAAGTACCATACTTCTCTAGTTCGCTTTTGCTGTGTTCACATCGCGCTGAAAAAGCCACAAAATCAGATTGAGAGCGAATCAACGTTGCCTTGGAAACTGGTTAACTCATTTCCTAGAAGCCCTTAAGTTTGAAAGGTTCCTGTAAGATTTTGTTGTACTTGCGAATTAGTGTCAAGCGATTCGTGTAGAAAATCTTGTAACTGAGATTTTCGTGGTCCGCAACTTGACACTTGTACATAGTGACACAATCAAAATACACTCGAGTGTTCAAGCGCGTAATTCGCACCGATTTCACTTTATTTTGATATTTAACTGTAACGTTATGTTGTTCTTAAAGATTTGTATCCTGCGAAGATTTCCGTGTTCCTTTTCCGTTTCTTGTGGCGAACCCCACCATGTGGCAGATATTATTAGCCTAAACTGTCAGTCATTACTCTATGGCGTATCAACTGACCACGACAATGATTTTCTTATCTTTCAAGATAAGTTATCGATATAAGTATCCTTAAAAGATCCGATCAAAGATATACGAGCCTCAAGCTACTCTAGTGTAAATAATATTTCTCTTCGCCTTCGAGGTGAGTCCGTCGAGTAACAGTATTTTGTGTATCGCATTATAACCTTTGTTGACACTGCATGCGCAATTATATAATACTGTATCAACCTCTCGCGTGAGTTTTATTTTGGTGCCGTGAAGCGTAGGGTAGAAATATGACCTCGAACACCATGAGGAAAACACTTGTAAGCATTGGATTTCCATGTGATTTCCACATTTGCCGCAAGTTAACGCCAGCTCGATTACGTTTCCAAGGTCGAACTTTCTCCTGAGTAACTCCTCCGCTGCATTTCTATCAGAGTGGAAGTTAATCTTCCCAGAACTTCGGCGATCCCGGTTTAGGGCAAGTTGGGCGTTCTGACAAGTCCGAGACAGGGCTTGAGGGGATTTCAAGGGGTGGCAAAGTCCGCCCGTGTCGATGTCGCTCGTACTTTGAGTAAGATAAACTTCGTTCATCTCTCCACGTGAACGGAGGAACGCAAATCTCTTTGTGGGAGGAATGAAGTAAATTGCTACCCATATCTAAACTTGGTGTCCATGAAAAACTCGAGTCACTAACTAACTCCTTGTTGTGTTCATTGTCCGAACTAAGGATGCGCGAATCTTCGACCGTTTGTGTGATGAATGTTCCACTAGTGGCACTTGTTCTTTCACATGCTGTTGTTTGTTGTGTTGTGCTATCACCACTGCTTCCTATCGCTGGCAAAGGAGTTCTCTGCTGAATTTGAGGCGCCGAAATTCGTTCTTTGAACTCTTTTTCTTGTCGGAGCAATCTCAGCAATGCCTCGGCTTCAGCATCTTTCACTCTACCTCGCATCGGAATCTTCGCGCTCTCCATGGCCGCGATCGGTGGGGAACAAGATAGCAACGTTCTTTTGACGTCCTTGCCTTCAAAAGTAATCTTACGCTCTCCTTAAGTTAAGCGGATTTCTTGGCTTTCCAACTGTCGCTTTTGTAAGGGTTAAAATCCTGTGCCTGACGCTTGCGTTTGACGCGGCGGTTTCACAAGCGCTGGCTAATCAAGACCTCGTCAAGGTGGCTCGGAAGGCAGCTAAATTGAATCAACAATCTTAAGAAAACATCGGGATTTGGCTATTAAACGCCCGGGCCATTGATCACTGACATCAGCTGTCAGCTCATTGGCGCACGATAATTGTGTGTTTTAGCCACAATTAATATTCCTGTTCAAAACGATCGTCGAAAGAAATGGCAAATAACTTTTTAATGAAAACGCGCGGTAAAAGTCAACAGAGACAAAGTTGCGCGCTCGAAGCTTCATCCTGCTCTTTGTTTCACACTATGTTGGCTGTCATTCGTAGATTGACAGCACCGCTCGCTGCTGAGTCAACAGATTAAAAGTGTATTATTTTCACTGACAAAATCTGAAGTAACTTCGCGTGCTTGTTCGATATTTCAGTTTCGCTCAGCGAGGACTTGTAAAATGAGCGCATCGTAGCAACGAAATCTAAGGAAGGGAAGGAAGATACTTGACTGAAGCAACTCTCTTTGGACTGAAAAAGTAAAAGGTAAGATTGCGGTGTTTCATTTATAGCTGGCTACTATGGACGAAAAGCACTATAAGAGAAACATTGGGCGTTTCTTCATCGAAACCTAAAAGCATCTAATTGAAGGTCTCGCGCTAGCCAGTTCAATGATCTTTGCGGGCTAAACACGCATTAAACCTTACCTGTTCTCATAATGTGAAGCTGTCATCGTTAATCTGCTTTAAGGCCCGTAAGGTAAAGTTAAAGCTGCTTGCAATATACGGCGGTCCACGACCTTGACATGGTCAAGTCTGTTGTATTGTCCTCGTGACAGCACAGAAATTGTGTTCCAATTCTTGTCGAAAATGTCGCGACAAAGTTTGCTAAGAATCTCGACTCTAACTTCTATTATATGACGATTTTGTTCGCAACAACACTAGCCCTGTGTTTCAGTGAACGCCAACTAGTAGACCAAATAAAATCTGGTTGAAATGCTGTTTTGTTTCATACTCTAGCTACGCAAAATCTCTCCATTGATCACGATTTCAAGTGAAGTCGCTATAGACGATTCTCACAGGCAGATCAACTGTGCTCGACCATTTGCAATCACCGCCTGAATTTTAGATACAAACATGGGGAAAGAGTTGAAAAAGAAAGAAATCGCCGATCTTATATCTTCACTCCCGTAGAATTTCTTGGTCTAATTGCAATAACGAGCAACAAATCGAAAAAATAATAAACACCGCTTATTGGCCTGAGGGGAATTTTTCAGCAAAGACGTTTAAAACAAAGTAAAAACAGAGAAATCGTTCGAAGAAAGGCAAAATGTTGGAAACATTACACCACATGGAAAAGAAAGTAAAAACATTCACAGAAAAATACGAGCCATCCTTCAACTTTTTTGTTCAAATTTTTACAAAGGCAAAATGAATTTTATAGCTGCTAATTTTCGGGACGGCAACTCCATTGTTAAAAGTCATATCCGTTAATTCGTGTTGGCGGGAAAGTGTAAAAGCGAAACGGCCGACATTATACGAATAGTCTCAAAAGCGTCGTCAACAGCTCATTTTGAAAACGAGGGGAAGAGTATGTATTTATGAAAGCCCGTAATTGGTTCGCAACACGTGTAGAATGAAAGGTCAGATTTGAAAGTCCACTTCAACAATAACGAGCTTAGCTTTTTAATTTCTCGATGTTATCAGCCTATTCAATCGACCTGGCGTGCATGGTTGTGTTTTCAATTAAGTTTCGCGTTCGGCAATTCCGTCTGCAAAAGTAATTAAGAAACCGCTTGTGAGAACAACACAGTACGAAACTAAAGTATTCAAAAGCGGCATAAACTTCCGTTTCATTCAGAGATTTCGTTTTTCAACAGCGAATAAATAAACAGGTTCGAACTTCAATGAGTTTCTTGAATTAATGTGACTTGTTCAGCTCAAACCCCTAGCTTCATTCTATTCTCGTCGTAGAAACGTAAAAAAATCAAGACATCATCTTGGGTTACTCGTATTCACATTTTAGCACAGCGATGTAAAACGACATAGCAAATTACAGTAAGATTCCTACAGCCTTCTCCAAAATGTTACTTAGTTGACCTTTTTTAGCACTAAGAAAAATTTGGTGGCACTCAGCGACATTTTCGTCACAGCCTTACGTTTTCGACGCTCATGGGATACACTCTTTTAGACCTTTCCCACGATGTCATGTAGGGATGACAAAAGTTGCAGTGAAATCAATAAGCATTTGATATTTTCAATAAAAACAACACCATTAAAACCACTACATGCTGTCGCAAACTATGTCGGAAAATGGAAGAATTAACAACATTATCATTTCTTAGAAGTAATTGGCCAGTGTTTTGTTATGACTGCTGCTGTTGTTTTGCTTCCTCGCCAGTTTATGTTAGTTTTACAAGTTGGCAAAGTCTCAACCAGGGCTGGCAAGGGTATAGAGCGGTTTTCAGTTGAGTGTGGAAAGTAATTAGACAATTACTTTGGTTTTGGTTTTGGTTTTGGTTTTGGTTTTGTTTTTGGTTTTTGTTTTGTTTTGTAGTCTTGATATTTGCTTAGTAATGCTCTTTTTGTAACTCTTTAACTCCGAACAACGATCAAGTCATAATTTCTTTGTAAGAGAAGATGAAGGTTGAGAGAGATATAGTCCGAATACAGATTATTCCTAATAAGGTAATCCCTGTCATGTTATGTTTAGACATAGTACCCAGTTCCTACACATGTAACGTGCCACGCGAGTTGCGTGAATGTTTTTATGGGCTATAAAAATACCTGTAAAGCCGCTTGCATGGGCGATAAACCTGACGTATTAACTGGGACTGACGCTGTCTCAATTTAACACTGAATCAGAAAGAAAGATAAGGGGCGAGTTGAGGTAGACTGCGGACTCCGATTAGGTCAGAGTGCTTCAAATTAGACAACTCGCCGGGTCAGTCAGTTTTAATTATCCTTGAACTAGGGTCGGGTTGTTCAGAAACCGTTAATTAACGCTTACTCTGGCTTGAGATTTAAGTATAATTTTTCGTGTATAAAAATGCATTCTTTTGACAGCTTATTTTTGTGTGGTTTGAGATTATTCAAACTCAGAACTGAAGGACAAACGATGTAAACCGAAACGTTACAAAACTGGAATCAAAATTTCTCTCTAAAAGACCGGCCCAAAGCCTCTCTCCGGGAAGCAGTGTCCATCTAGGCATTGGCGAACTGAATAGATAAAGTGACAAAGACGAAGGCATTGTAAGTGACAACATTACGAACCGAAGAAAAACTAGGATGATTTGGAAAGGTGACAGTCCCTTCTGTCCATATTGAGAGACTAAATATAATTTGCAAACAGGGTATTAATTGAATTTTACTGAATTGCATTAAAGGAGAGCCCGAGAGAATGTTTCTGCGGCTAGATGGCGGTTAGGCATGCGAAAGCAGGGAAAACTTTGAATATTAGTGTCTGCAAATGTCTGGGTGAGAAACTGCTTTTTGGGAAAGAGAAATTTTCGTTGAGGGGTATGGACTGAAAGATTTTTTTCCTTTCATTTTCCTTTTCTTTTCTTTTTTTTCTTTTTTCTTTTCTTTTTCTTTTTCTTTTTTTTTTTTTTTTTATAGGGCTACTCTCGCAACTGCATAAGTAAAGTTCAGCTGCGATGATCTCTCATACCTTGACATCAAGCAGTTCAAACATATCTTGTTTAATATATTCATTTTTAATTACAACTTCATCCAAATTGTCTCTCCGCCGAAAACTATTTACAGCTGGAGGTATCGCTAAACTCGTGCTTTAATTACAGTTCAAAATAAGCCTGTCACATCTAGGGTAAAAAACTGTACTGCTGCGATCGGAAGTTAGGCATTAAAGATCAACTAAAAGCAGGATTTCTGTTTAAAGAAGAACTTTATTATGTTTATTGTCATTGTCTTGTACCCAATAAAAGGACTTCTCAAGATTAAAAATGCAAATTTAGAAGTCTTGTACACCGCAAATATTTAAAATCAGTCATCGGGAAGAAAAGAGCGAGGTGTTAACATCCTTCTGTGGAAAGTTGCGCCGGCAAAAATCACACGTCGTTCAGATGTATATGCCGCAATGGAAATGATTAAGAATAAATTTTGAACCTCTTCACGTTTTCAACGCGTCAATAGCAATGGAAGAAAGTAGAGATATCAAAAAGTAAAACGTCTTTTGATAGATATCCGAAATAATTAGCTGGTCATTGTAGTGTTCCATTGCTGTTTGTGTAAAAGAAGTGCAAAATATTGATATTGCCATATCACGCCAATCGCCCAGGAAAAAAATTAATAAAGTAGCGAGCAATTTTATGCGGTTTTAAAAAGGATTAACTTTAATCACTTGGTACAGGTGTATTTTAAAGACGGTCAGCTTTGTTTTGCTCTGACAAGGGAAAGCGATAGCTGTGTGGGTTGCCTTAGTTTCGTCCTGCAACGAATACCTGGAGAAAGATTTTGTGGGAAACTAGAAAATCTGTTTAGATTTTCAACACTGTCAACACTGTTCGTCGCAAAAGTTATCTCAATCGTAAGTATAACAAATTTTGTTCGTACCCAAGACGTTGGCTGCCTCTAGTTTTACTTCCGAGAACGCTATAACGAAAGTATTATTGATAACTAAAGTAGGAAAACGTGAACGATTTAATGGTACAATTATTAAGTGAGCATACGAGTTGCGGAGAAAGTAGATAAACTTCAGGCATTGCAAATTTACTTTCAAGGATGTTTCAGTCTGTTTTGATTCTAACTTCAATCTTCAAATGACAATATTGAAGGCGGAGTGAAGTGGATAAACAAGGTTGTCGAAACAGTTTAAAATATACCCAACAAAAGCAAACATTTTTCGTTTTCCCATATTGCCCATCTACACATTTTGATCTTTATTTCGTCTCGGCTACCCAAGCATTTGTGCCGTTTTAGTTTTAACAAGGACAAAAACTCAAACAAGGCAGAATAAATTTCAAACAACTGAATTTTCAATGAATTCATGAACTGATTAGCAACAGTTTCAGCTTGGAAGTGGTAATATTGCCAATTTGGTTTAATCTACAGCCACTTTCTACCTCATAATCACTGGACAAAAGAACTGGCTATCAACAATCCAGTGTTTGCAGATGAAGTTTTAACGCTTTTAGGACAGAAAACGAACTACCGAAAAAAACGAATTCGATAAAGCTTGTTAACGAGTCATTAAATCTTTTTCGGTCTCGAAACTGACAGGAAGAGATGTTGTTTTCAAGCCTCGTAGCAAATTGAAGACAATTATTATTTCTAGATTTATAGCTTGCTTCGAAACAGATGTGATAACTTTCGTAGCGTTTCGTACCATAGATGATTGTGCATTTCATATCGAAATTCTTAGAGGATGGCGAGTTATTTCAGAAACATTTATCAACGCAAACCACTTAAATATTGCGTAAACTGTGCAATACTTGTCCCTTAAACCACAATTATAAGAAAAAACTTCGCTAGTTCATTACAAAGGTCGCATTGACCAATATTCCTAATATACAGCGAACTAAGTG